AAATATTGTTTTAAAATCAGAAATTTATGCTCTTTCTAAATCTAGATTCAAAATTTTTATTGGATTCATATTTTTAGAGTTATGAGCAAATCTTTAAAAGATATAAAAATAAAATTTGAACGAAGACAATGGCAACTAAAAGCTTCAAAGATAGAAAATGTGACCATATCCCATTTGAAATTATTTCCATGATGTTTTTCAGCAATTTTTCTTTGTAATTTCGTATTTCTAACGTAGAGATGTCCGATTTTGTTTAACTCTCATTTCATTTCATTTGATCGCATCATGTTTTGGATCAGTACCTAGAGAACAAACGTTCTTCTATATCTTCTGCCGACTATCTCAATCAGTCGAAAAATGAAGAAAGATTTTGTTGCAACTCTTGCGGTCCATTCATTATATAATAGATGATACAAGCTAAAAAAATACCACTACAAGGATCTATATGAAATATTGATGATGAATAGCGAAAATTCATTTCTACGTATAGAAAATTGAAAGAATAGAATTTCTAGTTTCGACTAGAAATGATTAAGAAACTAATTTTATCTAAAAAATTTTTCTAATGGAAATAAATTTTTCTCATTCGTTCCAAATCTAAAACTATACTCCATCATTTCTATATACCTGTTAAATTAAAATCAATTATCTACGCTTATTTTTTAAAGTGTCAAATTAAGTTTCCGTGAAATTTTTCTCATTGTTACTTCATTTGAACTTTCAGGAAATAGTAAGTTCCTATTTCCCGAACAAAAGCAAATCAGATGTTAAAGATTAATTTTTCTGCTACAATAGAAGTAGAATTATAGTATTCAACATCTCGTCATATTATGCATATTGAATATAAATACATAACTATACTTGAACTCATATCAAAAATATAAAATGTTTCATTTGTTTTTTATCTAGATTATAACTTAGAGAATTTTTCAATCTATTTTCTAAAAGTAGACATACAATACATCAAAAGACTTGATGTTCAAAATAGAGAACATCACAGGATGGTTTGCTTCGTTCTGCTCTGCATTCTACAGAACATCACCATTCAGTTATCCTGTTTTGCAGAAAGTCGTGTGATATAGACACATCTTAAGGTGACCTGTGCATGTTAAGCACATGGAAAAGATAATTTGACTTGCAATGTTATCAATATGACTTGAAGATAAACGTTTTCGTCTCCGAGTAAATGGCAATGGTATATAGTGCCTGTCAGGTCTAAAATCTTGGGACATGGACCCAAATCTGATCGGACTATACTTTGATATTTTTAATAAAATTTTCTAATCGGAATTGGATAGTCAATATTGATTTGTTAGCAACATTCAGCACAATAACACTTTTGTATTTCTATTTTATATATTAATGTTGTTTAGAAATTCGGTTAGAAAATGTCAAAACTTGGATTAACTGATTACTTTCATTTTATTTTTGTTGCCAAACGGATGCTAGTTCTTAAAAAAGAATGTAGAAATTAACTATCTGAAACAATGAAAAATATTCGGTTGTTCTTTTCTTTTTAAATACTTTTAGTTATATCAAATTATCAAGTCCTAAATTAAATAATGTAATGGTTATTGGTGCAATGCATATTCATATAGCTATACTTCTTTTTGGTTTTGATCAATGGTTTCTTGAACATAATATCCTTGGACATGCATGCATAGTAAAAATTTATTTTATTTTTTTATTTACAATTGATTTTGTTGTGATTAGTTGCGTATATTTCTTTTTTCCGGTGGATTTTCATTAACATTTGGTTCAATGTTTTTAAAAACTTTACGAGTTTATCGTATATTTACATCTCATGATCGACCATTACTTCAATCAAAAGTTTGTTTTGTTTTTTATTCAAAAATAAAATAGTAATTTTATGTTTATCTTTTTCACTTTTTTATAGCTTCTACAAGATTATTATCTATTACTTATATGTTTACATATCTATGGTATTGATGTTATTTGTACAATTGTTTGGCAATTTCTTGATCCACATGTCATAGAATTTACTTATGGATCGGTAAAATCCTTTTTATTTGTTTATATAGAAAGAAAAAAAGAGAAATCTACTTTCAAAAAGCAGTTTTATAGATTCGACGCCTTGATGTGGATACAGTTGTTTCTGATGAAATCTATCATTGTAATTCAAAATATCGTCAAAAAATTTTACCATTCATTTATTTCTATAAATCTTTATTTCTTATTGTTGGTGGTTATTTAGCTGCTAAAACTCGTCATGTTCATATATCAGCATTAAATGATTCAAAATATATTGTTTGGAGTATATATATTGTTGTATTAACTAGTTTATTTACTGTTATTGTAATGATATCAATAAAAAATCTACGTTCATATATTGTTTTATGCTTTGTTGTTATTATAATGACAAGTGTTATTATGTGTCTGGTCTTTTTACCTAAAGTAAAAGAAGATTATTATACGATAATTTAATATAGATTATGTATATATATATATATATATATTAGGTTTTAAAATTAAAAAGACGATATCGACAAGATGTTGTTTCAAAAGAATTATATATGGATGATTCACGTACAAGACGTTTAGTTGTTGAAATAAGTTATTTTGAAGCATATCGTTATGCACAATTACAAAATCGAGAACTTAAAACAGAACTTGTTCGAGTAAGTTTTATATATTCTTATTTATTTTGGTATAACACGATCGGAAAACAGAGTCGAAGTATATAGGATAGAAATTCCTCCGTTCCTTCTCCATAGACTACAGCAGACAGGTTAAAAACCGCTTATCACTGATATGACAGACATTCCTAGCAACATCTCTCCTTCTTTGCAGACACCTGAATAATACTCCTCTTCTTCCGCGTCACAGATCGTGACAAACGTTTTTGATATATAGTCTTTGAGCGTATATCAATAACGTTATGTTACTACTTCCTTAATGCATTTCTGAAGGATTCAATAAAAAGATGATGAAGAAATGTGTCCTAAAATAGATACAATAATATAATCTGTGTATGATTAGCAAGAACAGCTCCATCATGTTTTACATTATAATCCTGCACGAATTGTGCTAACACAACTGTTGTTTTTTTATATTTCGATTGAATTCTATCTTATAGCTCAATCATACTTTAAGCAATCTTCAACAAACATTTGATTCAGCATCTTCGAATGTAACTATGGCACTTCTTCCATTAGCTGTTCATTTAGCATCAACACTTTTACAAAAACCAGATATGCAGTACGTAATTAAAGAGAAAAAAAAATCAATAAAATTAAAAAATTTATTTATTTTTTCTTAAGAACATCAAATTCTCATTTAAATAACAAATCTAGCACAGAAATAGATGTACTAACTAAAGAAGAAATTTCTAATGCTATGAGTACGATTAATGAAGATGAAAAGGAAAGTATTAATAATACAACTAGTTCAAATAATTTACAATATGAATTTGGACAAAAATTATTATCATCATCATCATCAGCGTCATCGGAACTTGATCTTTCAATAGCTTCACAATTGTTAAATGATACTAGTTCATTATCACTAACTTCTTTAGGTAATCAACAAAAATTAGTAACAGATGATGATGAAAATATACCATTAACACCAATACAAATAACAAGTGATAATGAATCGGTGCTTTATTTACGTTTATCCGATGAATTAAATATCGCTGAAGCAACATTTGATAGTGATCTAGATCGATGATGATCACTTTTGATTTGTTCGACTCTATTTTACTTAAAATAAAATATGGCTTTGTTTTAACAAGATCATTCCTTCGTTCAAACAGGGAACAATGTCTTTAATAGAAAACTGCGAATTCTTTTCGATCCACCTGGTTCCAGCAGTGCTTACCATTCAGAAATTGGGAATGTAATAATAATTCACATGGAATTCAAGGCATTCAACAATGAGGGTGACTTGAAATACTGGGACATACAACTTCAATAAAGGAGTTCTTAAGACTGACATATACAATCCTAATTCAGAAGTTTCCAACAGTAAATTCCACATTATTTTCTTTGAATTCTTTGATATTTCGAACTATTCAAGGAAATTCAAGGCGTTGTATATAATGAGAAGGCTTGAAACACTACCATATACAATCTCGTGGATGGGGTTACAAAGGCTGGCACATAAAATTCTCCAATAGGCGCTTTAAACACTGAATTCCACTTAATTTTCTCAAATTTTCATTATCTAAATGATGAGTATATCTTCCTCTGTTACCGACAAAAATATCAGCTTATGTGGTAGACATCTAGCGGAGATACTTAAATTTATTATCGCCCTGTTATTTATGGGTCACTTTGTATACACCTATCATTATGAGTTTTATTCTTTTCTGTAAAAGTAATAGAAACAAGAATTTTTGAACATAAACCTTTGAAATTATTAAATTTTGTTTTCGTTGAAATAATTTATTCATCCTCAAAAACCATAATATGTTCATTAGTTGATGTTGTTGATGATCTTAAAAATGGATCATCACCTTCATTCGATGATAATTGTATTGTTTTATTCATATGTTTTTTAAAATCATGTGTAAATATTATTCGAACATTAAGATTTGACAATTCAACATCTTGAATTTTTTTTAATTCAATATCATTTGATTGTGAATTATCTCGAAATAATTCAATTTCCTTAATATGATTTTCATTTAAAATATATCGTCCAAGAAATAGATTTGATTTTTTTCGAAATATAGGTGTATTTCCTTTAGTTGATATTTCATCAGAATTTCGACGTGTCCATGTTATATTAGGATCTAATAAATGGACAATATCTTTAAATTGTCTATACATAGCAAATTGTATAGGTGTTTGAAATAAATAATTGTCTTTTAAATTTACATCAGCATTATATTCTAATAATAATTTTACTATATTTATATGTCCATTATAGCAAGCATAATGTAATGGTGACCAATATTCAATATCTTGATCATTGATAATTGTTGAATCTTGTTGTAATAAATATTTAACAATATTTAAATGACCAGATCGACAAGCATAATGAATTGCTGAAGCATTTGTATTAAAAGCTCGATTATGAGGATCTTTGTGTTGACAAGTATGAATTACAGATTTATCTTTGGATACTAATTGTTTAACCACAGATAAACGACCACATTCAGCTGCATGTAATAGATCCATACTATTTGCCATTTTGTCGTTTAAAAGAAAGTTTATTGTGAGAGTGTTTTTTTTATTAGATGTGAAATCTTTCGTGTGAAAATAAATGAAAAAGAAAAGATTGATAGTTGTTTTTTTTTTCACCTGCATGAGTCATAGAAAATAAAATACGTATACAGCAAAACAACCACATAATGAGTAATTCAACATATTACAATTATACAGAAGTCAATATTTCATTTTAAATCAATTTTTCAGAACTACTTTTTCTTATTAGAATATAAACCATAGTAGCTGAGTGTGGCCATAGGCGGCACAATGTCAACTTTTTAGAGGAAGCAATAAAATTTTGAATAGGTCTATTTTGTCCTCTATACCCCAATAGTGAACAACTCAGCAGTAAAACCTTTGTCCTTTGAATTTAATTTTACTCAAAGGCGTGATATATGGAAGCTTGAATATTGCATCGCCTGACAGTGCATTATGAGCTTCAAATTAATGTAATACTTTTTATTGAAAAAAGATTCACTGAAAACAATTTAGAAAACACTCAAATATTTTTGCTACTACCTTCCATTTATTGATTATTGTGTTCTCGTCATGACATTCATATAAAAGGTTGTCTGAAATTTGAACGATTATGCTGTTTGTGAAAAACTTGCAGACAAAGCAATTAGTTTCATTCAACCGAGTTGGATACCCAACATGTGAGATCTCAATGTTTCAAAACATTTTTACTTTTCAAACTTCTATATACATAAAAGTGTAGGAATGAAAATCGGTTCGATTATAATTGAGCAATTTACTGTACATGAGAACAAGTTACAGAAGTAGAAAGCGATATTGTTTTACTAAGAAAATCCATTTCTAATAAAACTTCATCTACAGATGATGAGGAACCATATGACGAAGTAATTGAATACATGGAAAGAAAATAAATTATCAAAAATGTGAGCATGTATTATCATAATGGTGAAAGCATTCATGTATGTATTCATAATTATGATGTTTAGCACCAATATCGTATTCCATTCCAACGTCATTAGCAACAAACAAACATATGTTTAACGAAATTGATCGACGTTTAGAAGTAGGAAGACACCAAGTGAATTCCTAAATCATTGCTTTTTATGTGAAATTTGAGATGATCTTTTCGTTTTTGTTTGTTGTTTAGAGAAGAAAATAAAAAGCATACTTTTTCATATAAAGTAAAGATTTGAAAACTGTTATGACTGTAAAAATATTTGTCAGATATCGAATAGCTCGGATTCTGCTTCTATCGAGTATCAGATATTAAACAAGGTGCCGATCTGAGTCTGAGTGCGAAGAAGCATACCTGTGCAGGACACTAGTAACAACCAGCTGAGGAAGAAGAGGAGAATAAAGATACTGTTCTCCAAATTGTGTAACTATTTATCATTAGCAGCTACTTGATTCCCTCTCTGATTTCGAAGTAATAGATAATTTTGCTTTTTTTCAGACATTTTGATTTTAAATTTAAAAATCTAAATTGTAAATTTTGTTAAAAAGAATACAGAAACAAATTTTTTATATTATTCATCAATCAATTTCGATTACTCATCTTTAATTTGTACTATTTCTTTTTCATCATGATACAAATGACAAATTTCCGCATGTGTTACACAAGTAGAATAAAATAGCAACATGTAAATTCTAATTGCAGATTAATAACCGAACATTCGAAAGATGCAGGAAGTATATTCATCTTATTTAATCTACTCTAAAAGATAATCTACTATAAATATTCTCAAACTAATGCCGTACAATAGCGACATCCATTGATACCCGCAATAATTATTCCGTCAACATTGGGTCGCACCTTCTATCACATGGCCATCTGTCTCTATTTTCATTGATAGATATGCATTCATAATTATTGATTTATTCAATAATAATATGTTAATATCTTCACAATATCTTATTAAAAAATCTTCTTCAATTAGGAGTTCTTTAATCTGTTGTTCTCAGAGTACAAATTCATCTCTTGCATCAATATTATTTCCAGAACCAAAACCAATCGATAAAAATGAAATTCCATCATCATCATCAACAACAACAAAACCAACAACCAAACAACAAGCTCAAAATGTTGTTATTTCAGCAGCTGATGCAGCTGCTAATGTACTTGGTGTTGGTTGGGGTGCACTCAGTGCAGTTAGTAATCGAATAACAGGTTTAACCAGTTCATCATCTAAAGAATCAATTACAAATAAACAATTACAATCAATAGTACGTGTAATTACACCTGAAACTCTTGAACAACGAACAAAATCTTTAATAGATTCAGTTAAAGCAGCATCATCAACATTATCACAAGCATCAAGAACTGAAGAACTTTCAAATTATCTTCTTCACTACCCTGATGCAAATTACTTTACAAAAACGGTTTTAAAATAAATTAAAATCATATAAATTTTCATTTTATTTTATTTTATTATTTTTTTCTTAGCAACGTCTTGTACCATATTTATTATATTTACGTCGACAAGAATATCATAAACCTGTCATTGATAAAGCATTTATGGGTATTATTAATGAATGTCTTACTTTAGCAAATTATGTTCAAGCACCAAGAGGAAAAGGTATTCGATTATTATCCATTGATGGTGGTGGAATGAGGTACGAAGTGAGTTCAGTTTTATTTATATTCGAATATTAATTTCATTTTTTTTTCTAGAGGCCTTGTTTCAATAAATGCACTTCGTCGAATCGAAGATCTTGTTGGTGAACCAATACATACGATGTTTGATTATATATGTGGAGTATCGACGGGTGCTGTCATAGCAGCAATGCTCGGTAGATTAACATTCTATACAAAAGAAATAGATATATTTCCGACAAAACTAGAGATTAATTATTTGAATAGAACAAAGCTCAGAACTAATGTCTAGGTTTAAAAAAAAACAACGTTCTATCTGATTGAGTAAACTATTTGTTCTAAATCAAGATCATATTCTCAAAGTTGATTAAATTTTCTACAATAATGAAATGACTGGAAAAAACCTTCCATTTTGTTTGCATAGTCAAACAAATTTTAATACAAAAATAAAAGTTCACATTAAAATTTTTCGTTTTATTCTTTTTCATATAGTTAGTTTACTTCAACATATGAAAATATTTCGAAATCATAAATGTGTTAATAAATACAAATTTAATTCTTTAGCGTACTGAAAATATATGAAATAATTCGATTTATTTAATACTATTTATAATGTTCTTCATTTTTTTTTGTTATCTCTTAGGGGCATTTAAAGTCGATTTAGATCAATGTGAAGAATTATACAAACATTTTAGTTCGATAGTTTTTCATCGAAGTAAAGCATTAGGTATTAGTTCATTAATAACAAATCAATCATATTATGATACAAAAAGTTTTGAGAATTATCTAAGGTAAAGAAATCATAGATTTTCAAAACAAAAAAACAAGAAATCAATGATAAAACGATTATTATTTTAGATCTCGAATGGGTGAACGATTAATGTTAAAAAGTTCGCTCGATGCTGATTCACCGAAAGTAAATATTCAAAAGTTTTATTTTGTTTTTTGGTTTCAAAATTAATTTCATAAATTTTTAGTTCAGTATAGTATCTGCATTAACACTTCCAAATGGTTTTAAATTATATTTATTTCGTAATTATTCTATATTAACGTCACCTCATGCACATTATGATGGAACATCAAAATATAAAGTATGGCAAGCTGTACGTGCATCTACTTCTGCTCCTGGATATTTTGAAGAATATTTACTTGATGGAAATGTATTTCAAGTAAGAAAAATATTTAAAATTTATTTATTTAGAGATAATTAAAAAAATATGTTTTGTTTTATTGTCAAGGATGGTGGATTAATAGCAAATAATCCAACAAGTATTGCTTTACATGAATGTAAATTATTATGGCCTGATGAAAATATTCAATGTGTCGTATCATTAGGCAATGGTAGACCTGCACCTGATGTTGCGTTTCAATCTAAATCAATGAGCTGTAAATAAAAGTCTTATTTATTCAAAAGAAAAATTTTTCTTGTCATCTGCGAGTTTCTAAAACACGATCTAAACGGAATTTTGAAGTATAGGAGTCGATATTTGGGTTGTCCTTACAGACCGTATATCAATAACGTCTTGTTACTATTTCCTTATTGTATTTCTGGAGGATTCAGTAAAAGGATGCTGAAAATTCTATAGGAATTGTACTAATAACTTTTTTTCATGGATTTTTATAATCAGAAAAGATATGTGTGCATAAAGCTGTGAGTGAAACTAATCTTGATACATCTCGAAAAGTTTAAGTATGTTTTTACAATCGATTTCTTTCGTAAATTTTCAGGTATAATATTTAGAAACTAAAAAACATTTTATATTTTTAGTAAAACAAAAATTATCATCATTAGTTGATAGTGTCACCAATACGGAAACAATTCATGTTTGCTTACATGATCTTTTACCACCAAACATTTATTTTCGATTGAATCCATTTATGAGTGAAGATTTTGTTTTGGATGAACATCGACCAGAACGTATCGAACAAATGTTACGTAATACTCAAACTTATATACGTCAAAATGAATATAAATTTCTTAAACTTGCCCAACGATTAACAAGACTTCGATCACCATTTCGACGTTTTTTGGATAAATTAAAACAGTTACTTCTTATATATACATAAATATTTTTTGTTTTGTTTCTGTTGTATAAAGAAATTGTTTAATAAATACAATACCGTGAACAACAGTAGATGATTTTTAACAAAAACATCTATCCTCTTCTCTTTCAGATGATTTCATCTTAGGAAGTTAGATAAAATGTTTTTATTAATATTTGGTATATGTATTTGTACACTTATTATAATCGGCTGGAAATTTATTCTATCATCACAACGAATAGATCAACAACAGGTTTTTTTTTAAATTCAGTTTTTTTTTGTATTTCATCTATATAACGACAATAGTTGAATCTATTTCTATAGGATATATCAAATATTGTAGAACAGTCACATAATTTAACACTATCCGTCGATGATGCCATTCGACATGATGTTGATGATGATGAAATACAATCGGTATTTGATTTTGATGTAGAATATTCATGAGAGATGTTCTTGTGTTATTTTTTTTTTAGTCATCAACAAAAATTACTTGCGATTCAAATGACAACAATGTTGTTCGAAGTATTCTAGAATTTTTACCAGATGAAATTCTATTAGATATTATTAGTTTTCTAAAACCATATGATATTTATCATAGTCTATATAAGTAAGTTGATTATTTAATTTATCTATGTTGAAGATTTTATAGAAATAATCTGCGATACAAATATCAGAACAATCTAGGTTGCAAAACGTTAAATCTAAAGAATAAGAAAAATTAATTAAAATGCTTTCTGCTTAATGAATTTGTGTATCTTCTAGAGAATAGTAGGTTCGGATGTATATTCATACTTAATTTCAGATCTAGTTTGTATTCCGTTTCGGGGAGTTGATGTCAATAAATTCAGACACAACTTTTCGGCTATGGTTTAACTTTAGATTAACTGTTTTTTGAGAAGAGTCATCAAATAGCTGAAATCTTAATTCTTCATTCGGTCATGTTCACAGAGAAGGTTAGATATTGGTAAAAATAAAATCACGTTCAGGTAAATAAAAACATGGAGCTGCTGTTTAGTGGTGCCTTGTATTGACCTTGTAAAAATTTTTACTATATTTAGAAAAAAAGAATGATTGCTGTGAATACTGCTTCATGAAAAGTTAAAATTCATGAATAGAATTATTTATTCTTTCAGACTTCTGTAAATGAACTAATCTATTTGACTTGGAAGATTTTTATCTTTGCAAAAAGAGAAAAATCGAAATTCAAAACGATCCAACATTCTAAGAAACATGTTTTATATCAAATTTTTTTTTTTATTTATTAAAGAACGAACCATTTTTCATATATGATGTTTTTGTCAAAGATATTAATTGAGAATATTAATAATCAAAAAGAGATAATAGAAGTTAAATTTTTAAAAATCTATTTTGCTCTTGTAACCGACAAATTTGATCAAACATATCTTTCCACTGAATGGATTTTTAATTTGTATCTTCAAAATATTATTTATACTTCTAACAATTGGAAATTGATTGAAATTTTCGGATCTGGGCCCGAACTCGATTGAACCGTACTTTGATACTCTCAATAAAGTTTTCGAATCAGAATTGGATAGTCGCTCGAAGATACGAGATTGTTTTTTGTATTCGATGACAAGCGCACTTTACATATTTCTCAGACGACTAGAGTCCGTTAGGTTCTAGTAACCATACTCGAGGAAACTTGTATTTGTTCAGTTGTAACTTCAATTGTTTTTAATAAAATTCAACGTATATTCTCAATATAAATAAATCAAAATGATTACTTTTTAAATTGTTTGATGTATCGTTCGAGAATTATTAATTGTACTATGCTTATATTTTATTCTAGTCTTAATAATCGTTTTAATTCAATAATTAATGATTTTCAACTTAGTTTACATTTGGACATATCACATATATCAAAATATGAATTTAATTATTGTCTTTCATCAATATTACCATTACCATCTGTTCTATTACGTTTACATTCATTACATATATCAAATGATGAAACTTATGGTGCTATAGCATTATTTATACGTCAATATCCATGTTTAAATATTCCATCACTTCGTTCACTTTCACTTACTGATGCAACAATATCACAAATAAAATTTCTTTTTCAAAAATTATCTATAAAACTTGAACATATATCAATTGTAACAAATCGAACAATAGATATGAATGATAAACGATTATTATGTCAATTATTATTAAAACATAAAACACTTCGTTCATGTCGTTTATCATTATGTGATGGTGTTGATTGTGATGAAACAATTTTAAATAATTCAATAAATAATCAACTTGAAAATATAATTATTGATTTATCATATTTTCAAAATATTCTTACACTTTTATCTTATATACCAAATGTAAAACAATTAACAATAAATATAAATCAACAAAAATATTATAATCAAGATTATGATGCAGCTGCATTTGATATTTTTCGTTTATGTATTCCAACACAATTAACTTATTTTAATTTAAATTTACGTTTTTCAAATGTTGAATTTGAACATATTGAACAATTATTAAATTGTTTAGTAAATTTAAAACATCTTTGTTGTTCATCATTTCGTGTTGAACTTGTATGTATAGAATTAGAGAAAAAATAAACAAAAAGAATATTATTATTATTTATTTATTTATTTATTTAAGGTCGATGGTTATCGATGGGCACAAGTACTTGAACGTCTACCATTATTACGTCGTTTTGAATGTGTTATGACAACATATATATATCATTCACTTGATTTAAATTTAATTTCTCAATCATTTCAAACATTATTTTGGAAAGAAAAACATTGGTCAGTTGTTTGTGATTATTTTCAATATCTTTCTCGATTAATTATTTATACAATACCTTTTTATAAAAATTTATTTACTTCAACATTAAATGGTTCTCAATCATTGAATGAATTTAATGATAGAAATGTTTTACCGAGTAATGCTTATGATAAAGTTACTCATCTTAAAGTATCAGTTCAAGGTATAAAAAAATTATGATTGATTCTAGATAATTAATCTTTTAATTCGTAGAATTTAATATGAGAAAATTTTTTGAGACTCAATCTAAAGTCAGAGCAAATTAGAAACATTGTACGATCGTAGATGAATGTGCTCTTATTTAGTCTGAAAAAAGATCATTGTCACATGAAATATGATTACATTGTTAAACTAGTCGAAGTAAAAATCAGAAGGTGATCTTGTCTCGACAAAAAAATTTATAATGATTACTATACAGCTTTGCACTGGTCTAAACATGTACATAGAGATTAACGATGGACGCATGATAAAACTATGGTAGTCTTGAATTGATTTCAATTTTTTCAGTTGGAAAGATCATTACAAGAAAATAACTGAATTTTATAAAAATAGACTAAAGATTTTCGGGATCTAGGAATCTGCGCATCTATAGAAAGTTTGTCAAAATTCTTAAGTTCGATTTTCTCATTCAAGAAAAGTTTAGCCATGTTTTATAAAATTCAGTTATTTTCTTGGAACAGGACTTCCCTCGACCGAAAGAATTGAAATGAATCTAAGATCATCGTTTTTACTATTATTCTATATGTGCATTAAATTTTCGAATGCTACAAATACGTAGAAGAATAAAGTTTTATTGCATCAGTCTAGATATAAATGAATAAATCCATTATTGTCGAACGTTGCTGAGAAAAAAAGAAGCAAAAAGTTTTCAAAAAAAACCAACAGAAAATTAATCATTGGATTTGTTCTAACAAAAACTGTAACTATTCAAATGTCTATGACTAAAATATGATCAGCAAGATTCTCAAATTTTTCATTTGATACTAATCTTAGAGATCAAACAGTCTTAAATTGAATAAAATTACTATCTATTAGACAATATTGTATACAGAGTTGCTCTTCCGGAGAGGCGATTTAGAACTTCAGGAGAATGAACATTTACTTTTAGGGACATAATCTCCACATTGGATAAAATATCTTCTCTATTGGATCTAATAATAAAAGTTATTATCTATCAATAAAATAGTATTAAGATACAAAACATTAGTTTAACTTATGCTTAATATTGTTTATTATTTTAGGATTACATTCAGATAGTATACCAGCTCGTAAATTTCGTTTTGTAACATCATTATCACTTTGTGATGGTGAATCTTATAGTGATCATTCAAATAGTTCACTACTTTCTTATTTAACATCAACAATTGATTTAACAAAAATTCGTCATTTAAAATTATATTCTTTACTATCTGGTCATACATTATTTTCACTTTTATGTAAAGCACCAAATATAAATTGTTTAAGTTCATCATATCATAATCTTTTACAAATGATTAATGATTTTGGTGATGTTTGGTTATGTTGGTTATTAAATATGATGATTAAAAAATTAACATTATCATATGGTCGTTTAACATTATCAATTGTTGATCAATTTATTGAACTTTTTTCAAATATTGAACATTTATCATTATGTATGAATATGGATGATATTGATTTTCAAGAAATTCTTTTAAAACTTCTACAAAATTTAACACATCTTTCATCAATTCGTATTAGTTTAGCTGGAAAATTAACAGATCATTTTCAATCTCAAACATTTACATGGCTTTCAACTAATCAACAATTATATTCAGAATTTAATGATAATTTTCTTGATATATGGATTACATAGAAAGATAACAACAAACAGATGATGATGATGATGATGATGATGATGATGATGAACTATTGTATACTTGTTTAGTTATGATTTTTTTTTTTGTTCTGTTATTATTTGCTAGGTTTTTTTTTTATATTTATTTCCATACATATCTGAATGCCATTTTGGACATAGATAAGAAATAAAAATAACGTTTTAGTGCGTATAATAAGTAAACTTAGAAATTGTTTGATGAAAATATTTATTTGATAGAATTTATTCTATAAAACTTTAGTCTTTGATGAGCATTCATCGATAATATCGGTTGAATAATAATGTATGATTTTTCTAGCACAGATTAAATTGTGTGGAACTTCATCATCTGAATTTCAGTACTTTAGTCTAATTTCTACTGGGAACTACACAATAAAAGACATTGTCGAAATTCCGATTTACAGATGAGTCGTAATGGAATGAAGCGAAAATATCATAGAAACTCTATATCTTCGATAATTTACTTCATTTCTCGTTGGAAATTAGACAAATTGTCAAAATTCAGGTAGCAAAATTCTGGTTTACTACAGATCAATAAAAAAGTTAAAGTCTTATTAAAGGATTATCAGAACTGTAGAGTAAAATAGTACTTAAATTTAGGACAATCGTTGCTTACTTTTTTCGTATATCAAAGTGAATTAATCTTTTTTTTAAATATACAATTAATTGATTTTATATTGCCAATTGGATACTGAAATGAACTAGTTTTTCTTTTTCAATATGTAACCGAACTTAATCATTAAATTATTTTGCAAATGATATATTATGTTAGTTCATTATCATTAACTATCTGCATATTGAATGAAAATTAATAATAAATGATAATACAGAGTTATTTCATAAGAGTACATCCAATTCCGATAAAACTCATAATTAAAATAAAAAGAGTAAGAACACTATTGCTCTTTACAGAGTTACTGTATAAAATCATCCACAATGACATAAGTTTTCAATTGGAGCGAGAGTTTTGTAGATAAAATTTCAAGTCTCAGTTAATTGTTGACGTTAATATAAATTTATCTACATAATTATGCTAATCTTTTAATGAACATAATTAAGTATATTTTTAATTTGAATATTGTATTTCAATACGATTAAACACAACACATTTACATTTAAAGAGAATGATGTCGCTTGTATTCTCATCGATGATTGAAACATTCATTGCTCATTATGGTATGATTATACTTTTTATTTTTGTTAATATTGGTAATATTTTTGTGATCTTAATTTTTTTTTATCAATATCGTAAAAGTACTTGTTCTATCTATTTACTCAGTGCTGCACTAATATTTTAATGATTATATTTGCATATTTAGTTTATCATCAAATAAAACAATTAGGTACATAAGTAAGATCATTAACAAATAATCAAAATGTATTTATTGTTGCTCGAAGAGATCGAGAATTATTATGAATGAGATTAACTGAAATATTTATTTATTTCTTAACTACAATGTTTTATCTACCTATTAGTTTAGAATTATTAATACACTTTCTAGAAATGAAAACAAATCTATTGAATGTATTCAAATAGAAAATTTTATTATGACTTTTTTCAAAATTTTTTTATCGATATGAATCATGTTGCAACATGTTATATTGATATTATTTTATCAAAAGGATTTCATCATGATTTTAAGAAACTTTTTAAAAAATATTGTAAATGAATAGTGACTACTTCGATTACAGAACAACAGTAATATCCGATTCCATAACGTTTTTCAAGTTTTAAATGTAAACTTTTTTATATTATGTCTCATTTTTATTTCATCTATTCATTCTCTATCATCATAACATAATATTGTAGATTTCTATACTGTTCAAAGAGTCAAAATTGTTTTGCTTCATCGACAAAAGAAAACTACATCATATATTGCTTCTCCTGTCTTTAAAAATTAAATCTGCATCAATCGTTTTCTTTTCTATGAGTTTCTTTCTACAATCTTAGTGATATATTTATATTTTTTTTGCTCGAAATGAAACACTACGATTCGCATAAAGCATGTATGAGAAATTTTTCTCATAAGCAGTTTAGATTTCATAATCATATACAGTGGCTTAAAAGAAAACCGTGCATACACTCAACGCAATTGAGATTGTTGATTTCATTGTGCATCGAATGAATTAAAAAATCCAACGAGTTTAGAAAAGATTTTCTTGACTAATGTCGAAATAAAAATGTGATAAAGAGACTTTCTACTGCTTGAAATTATAGAAGTAATACATCAGAATGAAATTATGTTAAAAATGTCAAGAGAGATAATATTAACAGTCTACAAATATAATGATGGCAGGCACGTGAATCAGTGATAAGTGGTTTGAATGAAATATGAGTTGATGTTGATCAATTACCTATTTATGCAATGCAACAATTATTAACATATCTCGAAAAAAATCGGATAGTTGATATTGATTCATGGAATGTGTTTTAAAGATTATCGTAACAGAATGAACGGTCGTATCTATTGAAATTACCCCAACATATGGTCTTTCAATAAATTCTTGACAGATAAAGAAACAAACGGATAGAATACATTACGATCCAATAGTCGGCTGATGGAACAAGAAAAAAAATATTCGAATATTTTATATAATATTTATAATTATGTTCGTATAATTCTTTTATTCATGATTGTTTCATTTCATCTAATAACTCGATTACAAAATAATTTGAAAAATTTTTTAAAGTTTTTACGAAATTTTTTTGATATCACAAAAAAAATATAAAAACGAGAACCAATATTGATGAAAAACATAACTGATGCAATAGTTACAATAAAATTTTCTATTCGAATACGATCAACACTTTTTAATACACCCATATAAGTTGTTATAGCAATTTCCAAAAGAATAAATGGATATAATAATATAGTTATAATATGAATGAATACTTCACCAAGTACCATATACAATAATTCTCGCTCACGACTTCGTATTATAATATTTTCTCTATGATTATCAATAGGATAATCAATTGGCTGAATACGTAATTGTAATCTTCTTACATTACGATATGTTAAATAACCAAAAATACTCATTAGTATTAGTGGAATAAAACAAACAAATATTATTAGATAAATATTATGTAAAATATAATATAAACCAAATTGATTACATCGTCCATCCTTAATGGTTGTTGAGAACAGTATATGAATTGGAAAAATATGCCAAAAAAGAAATGTAATACACATTAAATATCGTGCATTTTTTGGTTGAAAAAGAATTCGAATATGAACATTTGTTGTTGTTAAAATAAAACGATCAATACATACTAAAATAACAAAATATCTCGCTGATTGACCTAATGTATTTGTTAAATAAAAACGTAATTTACAATAAGTTAAAGAGCGAGAATTTAAATCACCATAACTAATACTATAGAGTGTTGGTGGAATAGCTAATAGAAGATAAAGATTATTTATAATAGACGACCAAAATAAATACATTGAACAAGATTTTTGACGATACTTTCTAAAAAGTATTATAATGAAACTATTGCCTATTGTACCAAAAATGAATATAATAGATAATCCATAACGATTAAGTTCAGTTTGAATAACCGGTAATAAACTTGTTGACATTATGGTTCTTTTTTTGTCCTGTCTTGGAACCGTGATAATATGTAAGTATAGTTTTTTTTTGTTTATATATATAGTTTTGTTAAATAATATAATCCTTATTCTGTTTAGTTTTCTCATATTAAGAGTTTTATTAATGAGCTAGGTGAATATGTCTTCTAGTTACTTTTATAGAGAAAATGAAGATTTCATAACATATAGGGAGTGTACGTCATTCTTATGCTATATTATTTTAATGTTTATACACAAATGTAATTTGAGTTATATTAATAACGTTATTTGAAAATTTTCATCTGATATTAATAAGAAACGTCCTACAAAGTTTCTTTGCTTGATGTTTTGGTATAGAACGTATCATGTTTATGTAATGAACTTTGAGTATGGTAAAAAGAATTTGTGTTACAGTTTCTTTACTAATAATTTTCTTTCAAGATATAGTTAAAGTGGTTGGATTACTTGCAATGATGTTTTCTTTTGCTCAGCTGTTTGAAAAGTTGAAGTATTACATTAAAATTATTTAGCAATATAGAATCGAATAAGAAAATTAAAGATATTTTTATTGATAAGATATCATTTGGTAAAAGCGATATAAATATGTAAAAGTCATGCTACCTAAGCCAATATAGAGAGAAGGTTGAACAATCAAAATGAATCTTCTTATCAAAAAAATGATTGAAACAATGAATAATTTATTTAAGAGAATAAAGATCCATTCGACATTTACTAATGAATATAAATGAAATAGATTACAGAGGAAATGAACTTTTAATCAAAGTATTACAAAAACACAACAAGTAAGAACAAATTACTTATTAGGATAAAATTATTCGTGGAAAATGAAAGCAGATCAATAAATTTTTTTATTCTTATGTCATTCTATTTAGTTTTTATTAGTGATTTCTTATTCGATTCTCTATTGAAGAGAGAGTTTATATCTATTGGGTATTTGTAAAAGACGCGATCACCCTCAGATCGAAAACTGATACCATAAGAAGATAGAATTCGGCGAGCTGATTCTACGAGCACCTATGATCACCCAAAATGGTTGAAACATAAGAGTTGTTTCCAATGCACACTATTTTTCTTAACCTATGATTACCCATATCTTTTGGTAGTGAGTAGGCCTACTCGATTTAGATACATACCCAAAATATTAGGCTTTTATATGCTTGCCTAAGAAAAATAGTAGGAATGGACTTTTCAATTTTAAGTCTTATAATTAAATTTCGCACATTAGGTACTTCACGTAAGAAGCCACGAGCGGTTTTGCTCAATCGAGACCGTTAAATTTTACGCAATACAAGATACTGTTGTAGAGGGTGGAGTTTTAAAAATTTCGACGCAACCCTTTTTGAAAGATATTGAATCTCGGTTTTTCTGTGGATGTTTTACAAACAGTCCTAAAGAGAGCATTTCGACCAATGAGAGTCTCGACGAGGCCAATTTAATTAAGTACATAAGAGCAATTTCCTAGTAGCTATTATGTTACTTTTTTTAAATAAAATCATAGTCTCCTTTTCATTATATCTATTACGAAAATCCTTGTGAAATAATTATGTTTTGTTTTTGATATTTTGCAAGTATAATATGCCAAGTAATGCTTAATTTTTTTCTTAATTGTATATACGTTCTTGGCCTATAACAAAAGTTAAAGCTATGAATAAAATCGGTATAGACGCAAAAGAATAATTTATTGTAAACATGAAAAGTGATCATAGATATCCTATTATCTGGAAAACGTTTAGAATGCAGTATCGAGTTTGATACTTTAGAAATGAAACTTTCTAGATATTCCAATGACAGTTAGATCCATTGACGGCAAAATTTCAGATCAAAATCCTGTACTTAGATTTTTCGAATGTGTAAGATTGTGTCGAAAACTCAGTAAAACAGGCAAACATGATGACCAATTGGCCATGGATCGGTATCTTTTTTTGCGTTTTCTTAATTTCGTCGAGATCTACTTCCATTGACAATATGAAGTCATAAGTTATGAGACACCTGGAGCAGTTTCTGCGACACTGAGAGTCGTCAAGAAAGATTTCTAATTCTGAAATTTCTCACATAATCAGAAATTCTCTCGCCAACACTGAGTTAATTGCCACAATTCACAGTCTATTCGCTTCATACAAAATAATAGTATTGTCATGTACAGTTGTTTGCCTATGCATTCTGCTATATCTATCAGATAATCTACCTGCAAGTCACAATACATTATCAAAAGAATAATCGATGGAAATCTTGGTTTTAATTCAATTTAATCGAAAAAGGATAGAAAAATTTAATTTTTTAAAAGATTAAATACCAAATAATCGATTTTAATTAGACTTTTTGCGAAAAATTTTCGTATGAGAATGACAGACTTGATAAAACCTAAAACTAGACGTTTGGCACCAGCCATCCATGATATCGTACAATTAATCCTGTTAGTATATGTTTGATTTCGACATGAAAACAAAATCGACCATCATGATCACATTCATATGAGTCTCCATATGGTGCTAAAAATGCTGGTAGTCGAATGCCAAATAGAGTCCAACTACGTACAATTAAATGCAATTTTCCAGGAGTGGTTACTAAAGCCAGACCAAAAGTAAACGGTCCGAATCGTTCCATTAACAACCTGTCCGAATGACCAGAACCTTTCATTTGCCAACTAGAAAATGATTTTTTCGCAAAACTCCGAGTCCACAATTCACCATTTGTCTCTCGCTGAAACACGACTTGAACTGGTACATTCTTTCCTGATTTGGGAAAGCCAACTAACGTCGCAACGCATCGAGATACGATACTAGCGCCTCGTTCAACTTGAGCAACACCAGCCACTTTGACAATTTTCTTACTATGCAACGTTTGCAAGGACTGTGGTAGATGATTCCATGCTTGACCGAGCAATTGTTGATAGAGAGATGGTGACTCGGAAGAACTGTTTGTTTTTATTGAGTCACATTGTCCAGTGTAAATAGTATGATTTTGAAATATTCTTTCGTAATCATCGAGTTCGAGATCCATAGTGGCAGCTCGTGCACCACTTGCCGGCTTTTTACCATCTAATATGCGACGAACAATTGCTTCAATTCCCATCGAAGGAATAAACGGACCCGCATCGCCTTCAGCTAACAGATGCCATGATCGTTCTTGTTTTTGACCCTCTCTATCGCTTCCTTCGATCGAGATAAACATTCCGCCACGGTGCTCACCCCAACGTACTAGATTCATTGTCCAATGAAACAATGATGCAAATGGTGTCAAACTAGGAATTAACCGCCATCGAACCAGCCATGCAAGACCATTGAGAATACGGTGTAAAATTTCTGGCACTGTTCCTGCACCGATCCAGATTGAATCGAGATTTGGCCACAAATCAGGTAAGATCTTAAGGTCAGGTACATCCACTAAGGAAAACCGACGATTGGATAAGGGAAGATGACCAGGTGGACATATCGTGTAACGCATCGTCTCTGTCATTGCATAACTAAATGTTAGCTGACCCCTGCGAACCAAAGTCACACGTTGACCTGAGTAACTTGAAATTGCACGAATAACATTCAATCCGACGTCAGCATACGGCGATGGTGCGATGCCACCTTTGATCGAATGTATTCTCGTCAGTCCTTTTGCTAAACGTCGAACTACCGCAGCAGTCAATAGAGGGCAGGTGCTGACACCAGAAAGTATGTAGATATTGTTCGCCTTGGCTTGTGCATTGAACTGAGTGACACCTTGAACGAAAGTTGATCCGTCAGCGAAATCGAGATAATTGATTGATGTTGTCAAACATGCTTTTATCACTCGATAAGGATCTTTTGCATAAGATTGAAATGGACCACTCGCATCGACTATTAAATCAGGTTGAATGAACTGCAATTGTTTTTCAATATCTGAATTATCACGATCAAAATGGAGCGCTCGTATGGTAGCTGCAGAGCCACGTAATTTATTACACAATTCTTCCGCATGTTTGATCGATCTACCTGCGATAAGTAGTATTAGTTGTGATTCATTGGCAAGCAACCGTGTCAGCCGACTACCAAATGTTCCATAGCCACCAAGAATGAGAATTTTCATTTAAAGGATAATGAATTTAATTCTTTCTGTTCTCGAAATTGAACGCCATCCTAAAAGTACAAAGTGGTTGAGTGTAATAAGTCTATACATAGTCAAAACAACGTTTCACTACGCCATTTCATTGTATTCGTACTACCAATCATGACAAATACTCCGTTGCTTAGAAAAGAACAGAAAAAGAAAAATATCGATCTCACACGTGGCGTCGTTTTTCTCTCGTTGTCTCGATTCACGAAGCATATGTTGAAGTAAATATGAGTGGTAAAGTTACATTATTTTTAGAAGTAACTTGTTCTGGTTGTTGAAGAGTAAAAATCAATCTGATGCGTACAAGATCTCACTTCAGAACATCACAAAATTTGTCATGAATTCATGACGACAAAGTCTAGGAAAAGCACTGTTTTTTACCACACTGATAAAAGTTACTTTCAAAAGTAACGTAACTTTATCAGCTCTATCAATGAAGGAAGAAAAAAGTGCAATGTTGGAGAAAAGAGCACGATATTACTCACTTAGGGGGCTTTGATGGAAAACATTAAAAAAAACACGGCTGCCAGCGTCATCTTTCAGTCTACCATGGAAACGCCGTGAAAAAGTGTCCCAAAAAAAATCGTCTATTTCTTTTTCTGGTTCCAAAGTTTACTTCCAATGATCATCGTGTCTCCTAATTGATTTTTCTGTATTGATGGTATTCTCAAACTGCACACAGATATTTCTAATCGACACTCAACATCATACTTCGATTGATGTTTTTTCTGATCGTCCAAATTTTTTCTATCAATTGATCTGAACGTGATTCATCATCTCAGTCTGCTAAATTTTTTTTTTTGAATTTCGAGACTTGAATCGATTGGAAGTATTGAAGTATAAGTTCAGCAAGCTTGTCAGCAAATTGAGAGTATAAAGCAGACAAATATCAGACAAGAACATGTTTTTTTTTTAATTTCAATGTCTTCATTATAAAATTTTTATTTTTCTTCGCTTCTCTGATAGGGAAATATTATCTTTAGTATGCTTTAAAACTCTGTTACGGTACATTGCCAAAAGAAGATAGTGAAACACTTAATACTTTGCATTATACCGGCTAATGCGAAATGCACGATATTAACTACATAATAGAAGGAAGAACAAATGAAATCAAAATATTTTCAACTGGCTCAGAAACAGATCAAGTATGGTGAAGTTTATGGACTGCAGAGCAAAGACAGCATGAATCTGATCAAGTGGAACATATAAAAGAGACGTTTTGATGATATCCGCAGAGTAATCGCATCCATCAACTGTGATGGACACCAGGAAAATCTATAGATTAAATGAACGCATCGTGATTATACTTGATTACAAGGAAAGGAAACAAGGTATAGATTTATCAGATCAACTATCAGCATATTATACATGTCTCGGACGATCTATAAAATAGTATCAAAAGGCGGCATTCGAATTGATATTTGAAACGGCAATAGTTAATGTCTATTTGATTTACAAGGGGAACTGTGACATATGCTACATGACCATTCTGCAGTTTTGTGAAATTTTTATACAATCTTCACTTCTTGGTATGCCATTAAAGAAGGTGAAACCTGATCCGAGGCAATAATCATCAAGTAATTCGAAAGGCAAACTCGCTGATCACAAGCTCGAAGGAAAGGAAAGATCTGCTCGCACCGCTCGAAGACGTGATGCTGGCTACTATGAGAGAAGCGAGCCTAGTGGCAGCAAAGAAAATAAAAACCTTCCATTTGATTGTGACAATTTTTGTCTTGATTGTTTCAATGAGAAGCATCATGCTATGCAATTAATAATTCAAATAATAGCGATGACAGAGCAAATGGCACATTATGTGCAATCTCATACGTAAGAAAAAAGGAGAAGAAAGTGTTTTTCTACTAAGTTTCTTGTTAAAATATAGTGAGACCCACCGGTGACTCTCATTACCACGAATGTATTATTATAGAGAGCACAAGCTTTCGTTTGTCGAATGATATGAACATTTTCTCAATAGAAACTTGTGAATCGTGTGCATAGTACTCATCATTGAAGTATTTTTATTGTTCCCAAACCGTAAATGATTTATTTGATTTTCTTAATCAATAACAACCTGACATAGGCTAATATAAAGGATATTACAGCCATCACTGTCAGAAAAACAAAGTACTTCCACATATCCCAGTTTGAAGTATAATCGATCGATTCTTCTTGCAAGATGCTATTGCCCGATTGACATAGATCAGTGTAATTGGTCAAACAGAAGAGAGTATTTCGAAATTCGTTGATAGTCAAGATGTTCGCCGCATATCGAAATGCGCTCACCCACTGGATCCATCGAAGAAAACTGAAGACATTGGCTAACTCGACAAGGAGGCCACTGAATACCATCATGACAACGAAAATAACCACTACTATGATCGCAGCTACGGCTAAACAGATTGAACATCTCTCTTTATTTGTCAACAGGTTCACTTAAAATAGAATTTTCTCTGTTTGTAAATGAAATCTTACCATAAATAGGCATAGATGCCGCAATGAAGAAGCACGTGGCAGAGCCGAAAACATTAGCCATGAAAATGGTTAGAAGAAAAACAAAAAAGTGCCCGGCAGTTTGTTGGAAACCGATCATAAAATAACAAATTGAACAGAAAAGCAACGAAGGAACCACTCGCATTGGTAGAAGATCGCACACTAATTTGGCCAAAAACAGGGCCGTCATACTGTAGTAACCACTAACATATTCCTAAACAGAATACGAGCACCGACAGCCAGGAATTGTCTTTTTTATGGAATGTATCTGAAAGTACTTACGTGAATAAACAAAGCACGTTCCTTAATGAATGGTTCGAGTGCTGTGGCAGTGCTAAAAATCTGATTGGCAACGACGAAGAAAATGCATCCTAAACGATTTTTCACGCTTGAACCGCTAGTTTGAGGCGTTTTGTAATAGAGAAGACCAGTGAGTAAACCAAGAAGGACAGCACAAATATTTTGCCAAAAGTATGGTTGCCAATTACGTCGAGCGTTGCGCAGAATCCGCTGAGAAACGTAGAGAAACTGGCAAGCGAATGACCGACCTCGTTGTACTATTCTGGGAACTTCGGAGGTGAATGATCGATTGAGGGAGACAGCAAGAGTTGAAATATGCATCGGTGAACGAAGATAATTCTCGTAGAGATCTTTGGTCGTAGAATCATCGGTTTCTTCAGTAAGAATATCCAGTGCAAAATCTGCTGGATTATCATGTTCCTTACACAGCAATCCTTGTTTATCGAAGTACGATAACATATCAGTAGACAAACCAAGATAAACAATACGACCGTGTGACATCAGTAGAAGAGTATCGAACAACTCGAAGATCGAGTAACGTGGTTGATGAATCGAAAAGACAATCGTACCTACATCAATCTCGAATAACTGTAGCAAAATGAAGTTACAATTCAAGAGGAAATTTACAACTGAACTTTCTTCTAGCACAAAAACCTTTCTGTTGTCTTTAAAATTGTCTTCAATCCTCAATGATAGTCAGCTTCTTCCTTTTTATCTGATAAAAAATGAATGAAATTTAAGATATTTCTTACATCCCTTTCGCGAAAGATCATGGAGACACTTGATGACATTGCAGGCTGTTGCTGCATCAAGGCCTAGGTATTTTGAAAGATAATGTGAAAATAATGGCCTGTCACTCTAACCTGTGGTGGGCTCATCAAGAAATAGAATAATCGGTGATAGAACCATTTCCATAGCAATACAAGTTCGTTTTCTTTCTCCACCTGATATCCCACGTTTAGACTCGGTCCCCATGCGCGTGTTAGCACATTCACTCAAGCCGAGCTGCTCAATGATTTTGTCCACTCGTTCCAATCGTTCTCCAACTGTGACTGATTGTGGTAGACGAAGATTAGCTGAGAAAAGAAGATTTTCACGTACAGTCAGTGTTCCACTGAAAATATCATCTTGAACAACATAACCGACCATATAACGAAATACGGATGAGATAGGTCGAGGATGACCGTTCATCAGTACACAACCTTCATAAGTGCGTCTATCTTTGCGATCAGCAAGAATGTCGAGCAATGTCGTTTTGCCACAGCCAGTGGGACCTAGTTTATTTTTATATTTTCTATTGAAAACTGAATGAACTGTACTGACCTAAGATGGCATTCATACCGGGTTTGAAGGTTCCTGACACGTCGAACAGAATTTGTTTTTTTGGTGCTGCTTTACAAAGAGATATTTGGGACCACATATGTGATTTATCGTGTAATGCGTAGCTTATATTGTGAAAAGAGATGGTTGTACCGATTGTTTTTTCATTTTCGAGGACATTTCCAATCTCAATGAACTCCTGAGAAACAAGTGTCTCGAGAGGCAATGTATTGCTCATAATGTGTGCTTCTTCTAATGAATATCTACAAGGTAGGTAAAAATATTTTTCCAGGTGGTAACGCTGTGATTTTAAATAGAGGTAATAACAAATTTTATACCAAATGAAAGCGCGTCAAAAATGGCAGTTACTAGTATTAAATGGTAAGGGTTCTACAAAACGTTTTATATCAAACATAATAAATCTCTAGAAACAGGATCCATAAAAATCGTTTTCTACGGAGTAATAGTGTGATTTTAAATAGAGTCAATGACAAATTTTATATCAAATGAAAGAGCATCAAAAATGAAATTTGTCAGTATTAAATAGTAAGGGTTCTGCCAATCTTTTTATATCAAACGTAACAAATTTCTAGAAATTTTCCCAGAATTATTTCGTAGAAAACCATCAATTTGAATCAAATTTAGTTTTTAAACTGTCTCATGAAAGAACTTTTTTCATACTAAAATAGCGAAAATTACTAGAAATTTGTTATGTTTGATATAAAAAGATTGGCAGAACCCTTACTATTTAATACTGACAAATTCCATTTTTGATGCCCTTCCATTTGATATAAAATTTGTTATTGACTCTATTTAAAATCACACTATTACTCCGTAGAAAACGATTTTTATGGATCCTGTTTCTAGAGATCTATGATGTTTGATATAAAAAGTTTTGTAGAACTCTTACCTTTTAAATGCTAGTAACTGCCATTTTTGACGCGCTTTCATTTGGTATAAAATTTGTTATTACCTCTATTTAAAATCACAGCGTTATCCCCTGAAAAAATATTTTTACCAACCCTGTATTTATAACCAAGTTCTCATTCTCTTTTATCTACGTGAGATAGTGAAAATGAAACATTCAAGTAAAGACGAGAGAATTGTAATCGATTCCATTGGAAAAGATACTCGCCAACGCTTTTTCTTTCTCCATCGACATAGTGTCATTTGTATGAGATAAGTGTGAATTAAATCGACTTGTAACATGATGCTTGATCGAAACATGTGGGGAAACATTTGTTTAGTAATACAGCTGCTTCTCATTTCCGAACATAAATAAAATGGAAGGATCCCGCAGATAAGGATCCAAATCTTCCACCTCCGTGCAACAAAATTACATTCATGCTTTTCTAAAAGGCTATATGTTATTTAGAGTACTACCAAAGTATGAAGTTCACTGCCTTAGCCCCATCTCATGAACTGTTTTTTTATCCTTGCTCTGTCTTATCCTACCTCATGCTGGGAGACTCATATCCTAGTACTATGATACACTCTAAAAAAACGTTGTTTTACCGAACTTGTGTCCAAGGAAAGAATGATTCTAGTTCTGTATGAAACTTCTGTATGTCTTTTGCTTCAATGTACTGATTGTCAAGATTTTTTAAGTTGAGCAATAGCGTATGAAATCAAAAAAGTGCTTCCCTGGACACAGGTTGGTAAAAGAACGCATTTTTTTAGAGTGTATCATAGTACTAGGATATGAGTCTCCCAGCATGAGGTAGGATAAGACAGAGCAAGGATAAAAAACAGTTCATGAGATGGAGTTAAGGCAGTGAACTTCATACTTTGGTAGTACTCTAAATAACATATAGCCTTTTAGAAAAGCATGAATGTAATTTTTTTGTACGGGGTGATAGATTTGGATCCTTCTCCGGTGGGATCCTTTCTTTCTTAAAACAATGTATAAACTATGTTCTTTTTATTATCTACTATAATTTTATACTATATAACAATAAAAAATGTATAGTTATGGTTGTAATTATTTCGAAAATGTTAGTTATTCATATCAATATTTTTTTCCAATAATTTATCTTTTTTACTTACTTTTTTGAAATCTGTAAAAAATAACTTGAATTTTGTTTCTTTAAATTAAAAAAAAAATTGTCATATAACATGTTTATTGTATACTTTGTTTTTTCACTGATCAACGAGTTTCTCTTGATTCTATTTCTTATGATATCCGATTTGTGAATACAAAAAAACAGTTGTGTTGATGTACAAAATGCACTTTATGCTTTACTGACATTCATTTATTTTATTTTATTTTATTTTTTGTCGTTTTTAACGCACTATTTTATTTTTCATGATTATTGCATTTGCGTATGATAGACTATCTTCGTTTCGACGTACAAAATGAGTAGAAATATTGCACAAAAAAGTATTTAGCATATATTGTTTTAGTAACACTGTAGTCTAATGAGCTCGAAGTTTGATGAGTGTGAATGCATGGGCGGTGCACTAGTACTACAAGAAGCAGTAATCGCTTCCCAAAATATTTCACATCTCCTGTTTATGATAGAGTAAGACAAATTAATTTAACATGTATATATGTATTCAATACGATTCTGTAGTTTATGTAGGAGGATTGATCGCTAGTCCCATGATTTTGTTTATTACCGTTCTGGTGAATACACTTCCCTTCATATATATCTGGCACGTGATTATTTAAGCCATACATAATCGACATTTTGATTATTTTGAACTCTCTCCCACCACATTAAGTAATTTTCAATGTTTACCTCTGGATTAAGATTACCAGCATGATTGCAAATTGACTTCCATCTCTCTAAGACTGACTATATGATACTCAATGACTTTGATCAAAAGAATTGATGTTCGAATAGCCAATATATAACGAACGAAACGCAGTGACTGATGTTCTTTGATGTGTGTTACAAATAAAAGTAAACTTTCCATTTAGTATTCGTAGTTGGTTTTTGTTTTCTTTTTAACAAAATTTAGAATTTAGATCTTGAAATTTAAAATCAAAATGTTTGAAAGAATAACAAACTTATCTATTGCTTAGAAATCAGAGAGGAGATCAAATAGCTGCTAAAAATAAATAGTTAAACAATCTGAAATACAGCATCTCTATCCTCCCCAATTGATTGTTACATCTATCATTTGTTTGAGAAAAGGATAATTGTTCAAATTTCCGACAATCTTTTTCATAAATATCAATACGAGAACACAATAGTCAGTAAACGGGAGGTAATAACAAAAAAAATTGAGTTTTTCCTAATTTGTTTTGAGTAAATATTTTTTTTCAATAAAAACTGTCACAATAATTTGAAGCTTGTCATGGACTGTCCAATAATACGATGCCGAAGCTTCCATATATCATGCCTTTCACAAAAAATTAAATTTAAACGACAAAGATTTTCCTATTAGAATGTTGACTATTGGAGAGGAGACAAAATAGCCTTATTCAAAACTTTATTCTTTGTCCTCTAAAAAATTGATCTTGCGCTTCCCATTGTTGTATATTTCATTTTGATCTTGTCAGGAATATATATTATTAATAGACAGCTGAATACTTCTTTCTCTCTGATGAATAGTTGATTGGAATATTTCTTTACGAAACCTATCAATCTCAGTTTGGACGGTGACTGTATTCATTTTTCGAAAATCCGATCTTGCATTTACTATATACTCTGATTTATGCGAAAGACTAATCATTTGATTCTATCGTATCAGTTCACATTGATTGAAAAGCAAATTAATTTCATGAAAAAGTTTTCTAACATACATGATAGCGATCTCGATTGCTGATTTTGATAGAGGAAAGAGAACAAAACATAGATTACTCATCGATGATCATATAGAGATTTCACATGTTATCCAAATCGAGAGAACTGAAACAACTTATATTTGTTCAGATGTTTTTTCAACTAGCTGTAAGTTCATTTGAATTTGATAGCTACCTGTACACATCCTTAGCTTCAATGTACAAACACTTCTAATAGCTAATACAGAAAAGAACTAAAATTTTCATTTTGAAATTACGAACGAATTCATCACAAGAAAGTTTATTCTTTTTTTTTCAAAGCAAACAAAAAAAATTCAAATAAGATAATGAAAAAACAAGTTTTATATGTAGACAAACAAAACAAAAGATTTCGTCTCCCTCACATATAAAATAATCCTGATTGAAATCCATATTCAATAAGTTCTTCTTTTGTCATCTTATATTGACTTAATTTCCATTGTTCTTTCAAATGTCGTAGAAAATGTGAAAAACTTCTATTAGACATTAAACCATTTTGTTGAAGATCCCCTGTATCTATAGGAAATTTTGGTATAGACCATTGTTTAATCTCATCAATAAGATAAATATAACCTTGATATTTTAGCAATTCAATAATATATTGATGTCGAATATTTTGTTGAGTTTGATGACTGTTTATAATAAGTTCTTTATATGAATAAAGTAAATCATTGTTATTCATTGGTTGAATTAAATAACGATAATCAAGTAAAAATTGACCAAGATTTTTATGACGTGATGAACACTTGACACGTTTACAAAATGTATCAAACTAAATAAAAATAAATAATCTCTTTTTTGAATTTTGTCTGTTTTTTTTTTGGTTTACCTCTTCTTGATCATTAAAAAGTGTCATAAGTAATGTCATGGGTTCTGGTTGATAATTCATACATCTTAACCATCGATTTTCTAATTCAAACATTTCTACAGATGATTCAGGTAAACCTTTTTAAAGAAAAAATAAAAAATAAAAAATAAAAGATGAGAATAAATTAGAAAAAAAGACCTTCGCGCACCCAATAGTGGGGCTAATTTTTGTTCAAGAATTGTTTTCATTATATGTCCAGCAAAACGGCCACGAAGTATAAGTTTTAATTCAATCCAAATCTTTTCACCAGAAACATCTATGATTATATTCACTATATTCATTTAGTCAAGAAGATAATAAGCAATCTTTATATACCTTTTAAAGTCATAGCACATTTCTGAATAGCTTCTAATACATCAGATTCATGTGCACATGGATCAGATGATAAACGACCGAAGAATCTATAATCAAGAAAAAAAAATACGTTTCATTCTATGAAAATATGTTAATCTAACCGAAAATAACGTAAAATTCGAATAGGATTTTCTTGTAATCGTCTAATAATATTTCCATTAAAACGAATTCGATTCATTTTTAGATCATCAATGCCATTTATGTAATCATATACAATTCCATGTTCATCCATTGATAAACTATTTATTGATAAATCTCTTTGTTGTGCATCAATACTCCAATTATCAGTAAATTCAACAAATACATCTTTACCATGACGATTAATTGATCGTTTTAAAGTTGTTACTTGAAATGTTTTCTAGATTATTGTTTTTAATAATAAAATACAATGAAAATTTATATTTTTTAATAAATTTTTTAACTTACTCGTATAGTTGTACCAACAATAAGTGTTAATGTTCCAAAATGTTCAGCACGTGTATAAACAAGTTCAATATTTGAATCACCTTGAATAAGTTTTAATATATCATTTGTTGTTGCTGTTGTTGCTAAATCAATATCATGTGGTGAAACACCAAGTAAAATATCTCGAACAGCTCCACCAACAAATCGAATCGAATAATTATATTCATTAAATAATGAAAATAGATAGATTAGTTGAGATGAAAATAAATGTTGATATTCAGATGAATTTATTTGATAACAACGAACTGATGACGACATTTTCTAAAACTAAGAATAATAAAATAAATAAATAAATATAAATGTACAAAATGAATCATTCCTGTTTTTCTTTAAACTATGTTAGATGTATATCACGTGATAATATGATATGATAAGAAAGAATAAATCATTTTTATACAATGGAAATTACCCAATATTAAATAAAATAAAGTCCAGTTTTTTATTCAAGGAAAGATTATTGTATTTTTTATTGAAGTATTTCATTGTATGCTTTCATTGATACTATGAACGAAATTAAAATAAACGTATGATAGAAAAAAAAATTTGAAGTCAATATGCTTAAATTACCATTTGATTCTTTAATTACATATATGTAGACATTACCAAAAACTATGCTATGTATTTATTTAATCAGATTAAATATTCGTGTATTATCATCAAACAATTTGAACTTATAACAAATTAGATGTCATCAACTTTGATGTACTTTTTCTATCTATGATTTAGATTTATTACCATTTTTCAAAATACTATTATTATTGAAGTGATCATTATTCATATTTGTTCTTTTGTATGTGATATAATATAAACTTATTTTTTCATCTGATTCCTTGACAATAAAAGAATCGCACTGAATTACAAAAGTTTTAATACTTAGAGAAAAATAATATATTCTCATATTTATATCGTAATTCTTGGTTTGAGAAAAAGAAACATATGAACAATAAACAATAGATCAAATCACAATTAGAATTCAGAAACTATTATCCAAAACATAAATACAAAAATAAATCATCTTTCGAAACATCGTTATTCGATCGATACGTCATTATATTAGTGTTAATAAAGATGAATTGAGTAATTCATTCATTTTCATTCCTTTCATTATTTATTGAATGAACCAAAAACTGATTAGATACTTGAAATATAACTTATACTTTTTCAAAAAAATAAGCTTGATAAGATTAGACTTCTTTGTTTTGAGGATGAAAAGTGCATAGGTAGCATTTGAAGAACTATTTTCTAATTTTCAATATTAAATAACAGATATATTTCGAACTTATTTAATTGTAGATTTCAATTTTAGTCGAAATTTTTTCTTTTATATAAAATAAAAATATCAACTAAAAAAATAAAAATAACATTCGAGTTTATTTTACAGAATATTTGTTAATACACAGTTGTTGCTGTTCAATAACAATGGACTGATATTTTATCAATTTTGCTTAGATTTTTTTGAAAGAGAAGATGTTGATGAATTTATATTTGTATTTTTTTTAATATTTTTTGATGTTGTATCATCTGTATTTGTTAAATTTTCTAATATATCTGGTAAAGATTGATCAATTAATTGATTTTCTGTAGCTTGAAAATGTGATGTTTTCCAAGCTTCTCGAAGTTTATCAAGTATTATTTTATAATTCGGTCCTTGTTTAATGCCTTTTGATTCCAGTGTTTTACCGGAAACAGGAAAACGTGGTATTATCCATTCAGATAACTGTTGTGCTTCAGTTAAATAATGTTGATATTTAAGTAATTCAACTATTTTTTCTTTTGCAGTTGAATCCTGTATAATTAAATCAACAAGTAAATCTTTGTATGGTTTCAATGGATCTATTGATGACGAATCAAGAATCGATAGTGAATCACGATAATTAATAATTAATTGAGCTAGACGACGACAATCATTGGAATATTTCATACGTTGTTCAAAAGTTCCTATCTAAATTCAATATTAAAATAAAATCAATTTACTCCATGGAATCGATTTAAATATATTATGATTTTAATTTAAAAGATAAAACTCAAAAATTATTCGAACAAGTTTATTTTCTATTGCCATAAACGCTAATTATAATAATAATAATCAAAGTAGTGATTTGTGTCAAGAGTTTTATTTCGAACAAGAATTTTCGAAGATGAAAATGATTGCTAGTTTTCCAAGGATAGGGTCTCTGAAAAACTTAGTTTTTTAACTTTTAGAATACGTAAATGGAGTTCTTTTTGAATTACTCAGGATGATAGAAGAAATATTTCTCTACAAAATGAAATATCTTCCAGTTCTCTACGATGTTTTTTTTATCGAGATACATCAGTCTTACACAAGACATAAAAGTTGTTGGCTTTTTTTTTTGCTATTTCGTATGAAAACATCATTTTTATGTCTTTCGTAACATTGACGTATCTCGGTCAAAAAACATCGTACAGAGCTGGAAGATATACCATTTTATATCAATTGAAATAATTGATTTATGTTTTAATTCTGATTTGTTAATTTTAAATTTTATTAATTTACCTCATTTGTATTACGAAAAAGTTTTGTTAATATAGTCATTGAATGTGGTTTAGCACGACAACATTGTCGACAATGATCTTCAAATTGATCAAGATCAATATCAGATGGAATACCTTTGATTGAATTATTCATTATTAAAATTAACAAACAAAAGATTAAATCTTACCAAGATATGGTCCAATATTTTGTTCAAGCATAACTTTTAATATTGGACCAGCATTTCTACCTTCTGCAATACGTTTTAATTCAATCCATAAACGTTCACCAGCAATATCTAAATAGCAAAATATAAATTTTTTTATATTTATTAAATTATTATTATAATACCTCGTAAACCATGAACATTTTCTCTAATTGCTTTTAATGATTGTTCATCATGTACAGCATTATCATATGCAAAACGGCCAAAGAATCTTTTGTATTTTTTTTAATTTTTAATAAATTTAAAACTAAAATATAGAATTTTTGTTTCATTTACCGAAAATATCTGAGAATACGAAGATAATCTTCACAAATACGTTGAACAGGATCACCAACAAAACGAATACGACGATGTTCAAGATCATCAATACCATTGAAGTAATCATAAACTATTCCATCAAGATCTGAATAAGAAAAATTTTATAATCAATAATTTACTTTATTTTTTTTTTCTTTAAACTAACCAAGAAAAAGTGCATTAATTGTAAGATCTCGTCGATTAGCATCTAATTGCCAATCTTGTGTATATTCAACAACAGCATGTCTACCATCAGTAGTAACATCAATTCTTAATGTTGTTACTTCAAAATTTTCCATATCATCAACTCGTGCTGTTATTGTTCCATGTTTTTCACCATTAGAATTAATCATTCTTATATTTGCTTTTATTAACATATCTTTAACTTGTTCAGGTGTTGCTGTTGTTGCAAAATCAACATCATGTGGAATAATACCCAATAAAATATCTCGTACTGCACCACCAGCTACACGTATTTCATATTGATTAGCTTTAAATAATTCTGCTAATTTCAATAAAGATGGTGTTAATAAAGCTCGAAATTCAGGTGTATCTATTTTTTGTTTAATTAACATTTTTTTTTTTTGAAATATGTGAATATGAAGCAACGAAAGGAATTGAATCAGAATGATGACATATATATATATATATTACAATATCATCTAGAAAGTATTTCAAAATAAAAAGGAAAGAACACAACAGAACAGAAAGAAATGAGGCAATTACAAAGCTAGTAAAAAAAAACAATAACAATAATGACACATCATTATTTTTTGCCACCTTTTTCAGCAGCAGCGGCAGCAGTAGCTCCACGTAAAAGTTTTGCTTGTTGAGCTTCTTCAGCTTCTTTAGCTTGTTTTTCATGAAGTGCACGTAATTCTTCCATGTATTTTGTTTGTTCTTCAACATTCAATGTACTAACAACTTCCATACCAATTTTATTTGCATGTTGAATTAATATACGACACATTTCTTTCATTGTTAAACCTTGATAAGGTTCATCTATAGATAAAAAAAAAAAAAGAAAATCTATTGCCATATCTATTTAAGGATACATTTCTTCACTATTCTTTTACTTAATCCCTCAGAAATCTAATCAGGAAGCAGTGACGAAACATTATTGATCGTAAATTAACAACATCTGTCATGATCTATGAATACAAAGGATTCAAATTTTTATTTCTCTACTTCAATACTTCTTTTAGATCATGTTTCACAAAAAAAAAAATCTACAATACTTTATTCTAAACTTATATTACCTTGAATTTTCACTTTAGCTATTTCATAGATATGTTTAACACTTATTCGACCACCAGGTTCTTTACCTTTATAAAAAGATAAAAATTTTTTTTTTTCAAAAAGAAAATTTGAAAATAGGAACTAACCAATATTAAGTGCTGGTCGTTTAAGACCAGCTGCTTGTAAGAGAAGATGTTCAATTGTTGGCGTATAAAAAACTAATTCATATGTTCGATCAGGCTAAAAGAATAATAAAACTATGAATTCATTTAAATAGAAGAAAAAAACTTTATAGATAACTAACTTTAACATAAACATGACATGGTAAAGGTATTCCTTCTTTATAATCTTTAGTTCTTTCATTAAAATCTTTACAAAAATGCGCAATATTTAATGAATGTTGACCAAGAATAGGACCAAGTGGTGGAGCTGGACTTGCTTGGCCAGCTGGAATATCCATTTGAAAATATGGTTGAAGAATAACTTTAGATGCAGCTGCCTTCAATTTTGAGGCCATCTTACCAACTTAAAAAAAAAACAAATAATCAATTCAATACAAATTTTTCTTTCCATCAATTGAAAAAATACACCAAATTACCTTGTTTTGAAGTTGTCATTCTCGAAATTCTTTTTTTTTTTATTATCTAATCTAAAACAAAACATAAATAAATTTTTTTTTATTATTCATTTGTTTTATTTAATGAAACATTTTCAATATGTAAATCTTCATCTTCAGATGATTCAGATGGTGGCATATCACGATTAGGTGTATAATCATTAGTAAAACTATCTTGTCCTGTTCGAAAACGTTTATCACATTCGATTACAGCTTGTGCTGAATCACATTTTGCATATGCATCAAGTAATGACCCATTAAGTGTATAAAATGCATGTCCCCATTTAAATTTATCAAGTAATATTGAACCAAAATCTTGTAAACCAACAATAGCTAATGCTGCAGCAAATGCTTCGACACAAGATAATTGACAAGGTTTACCTAAATAATTAATATTAAATCATAAAGAGTGTCTAATCAGTTTTGATTCCTCCCTCCATCAAGTAATATTCCTTTTTTTTCCAGTAGAATACGTTGATATTTATAGCATATATATATGTTAGAATTTAAGCTTCCTATCTCTTATAATCATAGAGATACAAATGATCTAAAATTCATAAGAATTTTTTAAATTATTTTTTGCAAACAGCATGTATGAAAAAATTGTAGTTATTCGATCAATCTCTCATAACGAGTAACTTTTAGTTTTCAGCGACTTGTCATTTGTTCACATGGTTATCAACATTTTGAAACCGACTCTTCAAGATGATCAAGATAGTAAATATCGAACAATAGTTCTGATGAATACTATTGAATCTTTATATGATGAACATATTGATCATAGGGTTGATAATGCAAAATTTACTCATATTTGATCAATCGAGACAATTTGAAGAAAATTGAGAAGAGAAAGATTGAAAATGAATCAGAATCGGAAAATATTTACTGCAGTATAAAGACAAGAAAATGATAGAAAAATTACCGAATCAATTGAAACAATTAATAGTTCAAGAGAAGATATAAACATTGACGTACGTTATCTTGTTATGCTGTGTAAATCTCGAATTTTATGTTACTTATATCTCTTTAACTGTAAGAAATAGAAATCTAAAATTCTAGCGTAGAGTAGATTTAGATCTCTAGTATATATGCTGTAAATATTAAATAATAATAAATATATGAGAAAAGAATATCAATTGATGGAGATTCAAAACTTATTAAACATTCTATATAAATAAAAATCAAATACCATAATTAACATTATTAGTAGCAATAAGATAAGGAAGTAATCTTAAATGTTTGCCTTTCATACGAGAAAATGGTGTTTCATCAAGTTTTGCCCATGAACAATCAACAACAGCAATACCACTGTGTAATATTAATTGTTTATCATCAGGTGATACACATTGTTGACCAATAGGTGAAAGAATAATACCACCAAAATGACTGCCTAATTTTAATTGTTTAACAAATCCATGTCGAACAAGTTTACGACCAGTACATCGTTTAGGATCACATTGATTAACATCCCACATAGCTAAAGGTACATGAATTTGTTCAGTTTTTTCTTCATCATCTTTATCATCATTAGCTGAATGATATTGTTCTTCATCAGTATCAGATTTTGGAGCACGATCGATATATTGTCGATCTTTATGATGTTTATTTTTTTTAGTTATTCTATGAGACATCTGTAAGAAAAAAACAACATAACAAATAGAATTTTCTCAATATTTTTATTTAAGTTTACAATAAAGCAAATTTGTCTATTAGAAATGATTGACAAGATAAGCTCATTAAATTTCTTTGGGTTTTTTTTTGTATATATTATTTTAAATGGTATTTATATTTGCAAATACATTTTTCAAGTATTTGCATTTTAAAGCAATAAGTGAATCCATTCAGATTTCTGATTGATGACAAAAATAATACTTGTCATAAATGTTGATCGTCATAGTTATTGCTATAATAATTTTAATAACTAACAGTAGGTAGGCGAAATGTAACAATCTTTCTTTTTCCTTCTCCATCAGTATTAAAAACACCTTTTTATATCAAAAAAATCAATCGAGATTTCTTTTCTTTATTTTTTTTTTTGTCTTGGTCTTTCACATTTCTTCTCAAAAGCATTCATTTCCGTTTCGAACAACAATCGATATTATTCCTTTTTTTGAAAAAAAGAAAAACGGGCAATAGAAATGATAATAATAAATTTAAATGGAAAAATCACTCGAACAATTAAAACATATTGAACGAATATCACGACAAACACGTCATCATCGAACACATTTAAATCAAATATGTGATCAAAATTTACGAACAAAATTACATGATTTAGATAATGAACGTGAACAAATTATTACACGTTCAATATCACGTCGAGAATTTGAAGAAAAACGAAAACAATTACTCGGTATTACAATTAAACAAATTGCAAGAGAACGACAACAAGAACCTTTGCGAATTAATACAACACAAATCGAACAAGAAACAATTCAAAAACTTTCAGAGGATAATGGTAAATAACAATAATACACTTTCAATTTCAATGTTATGTTTTGACTTGAAAAAACTACATGCGTTGAATATTAAAAAAAGAAATCGTTGACGAAAGAGAACTATAATTTTTGTAATGACTAAAGATATTAGTTATTTAAAGACAGTTCAAACTCTTACAGATATTTTCGTTGATAACATAAGAAAGAAATAATTGAAATTAAGATATTTATCAATCACTTGTATTCTAACATATTACAATTAAGATTTTCTTTTCACCATAGGATACATTTTCTTGTTAAAACTAGAGAAATCTTCTCTTTTTTTTTTGATTATTAATCATTTTCTGTGTTAAAAACAAAAACAACTATGACTAAAAATATCTCAAATAAAATAAAACTAAAATCTACAAAATGTATTACAAATTCTAGAAAGTCGTCCATCATCCTCCATTAAATTACCTTCAACTGGAACATCATGTCGGCTATTTTCACATAATTGTCAACTTTATCCATGTCAACCAATTTATGAATATACTAGTTTTGTAAAAAAAGAAAATGATCAAACATTACGAAAACGTAATTCATCTATAGGAAATTCTATTAAATCATCTCATAAACCACATATAAAAGAAGTATTGACAACTATTCAAGAGAGACAGCATCAACAAAATCGTCGACAATTAGCATTAACAATGCAAAATCAATATCATTTAGCTCATCGACATGAATCTATGCAACGAACAATGACAGTACTTGATGAACAAAGTCGTCTATTACATGAACGATTAATTGAGAAAAAAACATTCGGTTATAATAGAGAACGTCAACATCAATTATCACAAGCTATTCAAAGTCATTTAAAAATAACTGCGAAATTTTGCGCATAAAATTAAAAATAAATAAAACAAAAAAAAAAGAATTTATATTTATTTAAACATTTTTTCAATGTTATTTCATTAAATGTGTTTTTATTACTTTTTTTCTTTGTTTGTAGATGATATCATATAATACTTTTCAAAAATGTCTTCGCCAAGCATCATCCGACTATTGCCATATATACTATACAAATCATTATAGTATTAATAAATAAAAATTTTTAATTTATTAATTTACTTTGTACAGTTCTATAGAAATTTGACAAGCAATAATATTTTCCAAAGAAATACCTGCATTGATAACATCTTCACGACTATTAAATATATATGATGAATTATTAGATAATAAATCAAAGAAAGAAAAATGCAGATTTTTATTTACTTTATCAATAGATCTTAAAGATCATTTGTATTCATTCTATAATATGTTGAAGATACATTTCTTTTTCATGCTACATCGTCAAATTTATTAAGTTCACTATTTCAAATCGTCGATAAATATTTCGCATCAATATCTAAATATGTACGCAAGTAGAAAAATAAAAGCAAAACAATAACCGATACAAAAGTCTTTGAAAGAATATCGAAATTTTATTTCTCAACAATATAATATCAGATTGACTTGAACTATTTGTTGTTTGAAAGAGCAAAATTTGGAAAGTATATGCATAGAATAAAAAATTCTTCATCCGATTGATTTATGTTGTGCGAGAATATCCTTTCTACTGATCTTAAAAAACCATTTATTTGGCAATTAGTATTACTTCAATACCTACGTGCAGTTACAAGAATATGTCGTTGGGTAGAGCTAAACAATTGCATCTAAGATATAAATTTTCGAAAAATATTCATATACTTTTCAAAACTCTTACAGTCTCACTATGTTTTTATCAAACTGATTTTCTAGCAGAGGAAACATTATAAGAGAGAATTTTCTAATCAATAATATAACCGAAAATAAATTTCCGAATATATAGAATAATAGAGATTGAAAAGCTCTATTCATGGATAAGTTTAATTCAAAGTTTGAGACCAGCGAAATCATGAAATCAACCACTGAAAATGTAGAAAAGTAGAATTGTAAAGACATTTTGAACATTACTCACTAATTGACATTCATCATAGTAAAGCGACAGTAAAAATTTTAACTATGTTAACTTTTTTCATTCTTCAGACTTTGCTCTTTCGCACAAAAGAACAGTTCAGATCGATTCGATACGGGGCTGTTGAGAAATGAGTCTCGACATTTTTTCAAAGGCTTTTGGCATGGCTTAAATATATACGACGAATAAAACTTACCAATAGTAAAAAGTTCTACCAGAATCAATTAATACTATTACTTGACATGCCTTTTCTGTGCTTAATTGTCCGAAACTTATTTTAAATTCTTTCAAAAAAATAAATATTCTATTCAAATAATTATTTATTCATGACATTGAGTTTTGTTCATCGATTTAATTCAATAAGAATAACATGTGTTGTAGGTTGACTTAATTTCAATATGTTTCATAGTTTGGTAATGATGACATAAAGCGATAAATTCATTGAATTAATGAACGGTCTATAGACAAAAAGAAATAGTTATTTCGTAAGAAACATATTAAAATAGTTTACTTGAATATATTCAATGCATTATAATCGTATAGTAGACTTTTTCTGTCAAGCTAATCTGCTGACAACTAACTAGAGTTGAAATAAAATAAATTTTATGTACATATCTATAATTTTCATTGCTCGATAGAACATCCAGTCTTTCATTTGTCGTTTGAATCAAGAGAGGGCGCTCTATATTATTGTACTTTACGAAAACTCTATCAAGCTTTTATGAATATTTCATATGATCAATGAGTGATACAGATGAATTGTTAATTACTGGAATAAAAAAAGGTGTTTATATCAATAAGTACATTTTGACAATCACTAAATCATACATATTTATCTATAACAAGTTTATCGTTTAATTACAATCATTCTATGACATTGATTGCTATTTAACCTAGATTACCTATTGTTTTACTGCCAAGCTTGTGAATTTCTGTTTTAAAAAATTATCATCGCTAACGAAGGAATCTTCCCAACATAGAAGTCGGTTTTCATTTCGGACTCTGTACATAAGGTAGACTCTAGTAAGCTATGAAAAACTTCAAAATAATACGAGTCATCTAGGCTTTTCCTACAAAGTTATAGCCGTTTTACTAAAATTTTAGCCTCTAGCAGGCTCTATGTAAAAAAATCGAATGATGATATTTGACCTGAAGTATTGTCCATAAATAGATCTAAGTGTAAATAGAATGTCTTGAAAATTTCAGCTTAAAAGAATGTTCCTTTTACGGGATATTGAATTCCAAAAAAAAAAATGAGATTATCAAATCTTTCGTGGAATAGGAGTGATTTTCATGCATCTATTGTCTCATGAAGAGAATGTGTTTTTAAGCTGAAATCTTCAAAACATTCTAGTTACAAGTAAGGCTATCCATGAGCGAAATTTCAGATGAAAATATTACCATTCAATTATTTTGTGCATACTGTCCTACAGGTTAAATTTTCAGAAAAACGGCTATAACTTTGAAGAAAAGGCTCAGGGGACGACAGTTCTTTGGGAGTTTTTATTACCTCCCGGAATTCACCTTATACATATAGCCCAAAGTCAAAAGCGATTTCCAAGTTGGAAAGGTTTCCTCATTAAATAAATATTATGCTAATGACGTGCACAGTGTAGTTGTTACAACAATAAACAAAAAGACTCTTAGTAGTATTCATTAGTTTTGATGACTGATTTTCTTTCTCATTGATATCAACAATAATCATTTAATCAATAGAAATTAGGAACTGTTTGATCAATGTCTTATCTGCATGAAATATTCTTAACATCGATATCTATCCATTGTCTCATATTTACGCACTTCTTAAATTTCATTTGACTTGTGTATTTAAATACAAACGATCATTGTTGATATGAATAATCGAAAAGCATTTTTCTAAAATTGTAGTAGTCATGCAATTTTAAAAGACTTTCTGTGTTAATAAGCATAAGCTTTTTCTCTTGTTTCTTTTCATGATCGAACAATTTCGATAGTAATAACATTGATTCAACAAAGTCCAAGCTATTAATATACAGATGTAGTTTCATCACTACATATGTTTCTAATTTTAACTTAATATCTCGTCAAATTTTTCTATAAATATATACTATATTTCATGAAAGCTATATTCAAATTCTTTATTATATAAAAGTACAAATTTAAAAATACTACAAAAGTAAAATATATCTTGACTAGAAAAGTTTCTTTCATCATATGATTTATCAAAAACTCGGAATAGTTTTTTTTTCTTCAAATCGTACAGTTGTCTGATTATTATTGTTCGTCTAATATTCAAATTGTAATGACTATTGCAACGACTATATTGGTTGTGCTTGTTCATTATTCAATTTAGTTTGTATGTCATGTCCTCGATTCACAATGGAATGAAGTGCTCTTTGCATTTGAACATTTTGTTGATTAAATTGTTCACAAACTGTTTTAAGATCTCTAAAAATTGGTGATAATTGATTAACATGGGCATGATTCGACGAAGTTGTCGATTCAGACAAACGTGCATTCCATTTTCTTTCAAATTCATTAATCATTGTTTCGAATTGCCTACATAAAATGAAAAGAGAGTAAGATAAATTATTTAATATTATATTTTCAAAAGCTTACTTTTTTTGCTGCTTCAGTATTTCCATAGCACGTTGTTCAGTTAAAGGTTTTTGAGGACAATTAGAAGCATAATGTCCTTCATTTTGACATCGATGACAAATTAATGGCGAATATGATTGAACAGGACATTGTTTTCCATCAATGAGAATATATCCACTGTCGATAATTTTCATAGCAACATTTTCTGCTTTAAAGTCGATTCGAATGAAACCCATCGGTTTTCCATCTTTATCATAACGTCGAAAAACTTTTTCGACACCTATATAATTATGTCCTAAATCTTGCAATAATTTTGCTTCATCTAAATCGCATGAAACCTTTGAGGCAACCAATGATCGTGTTGGTAGAGATGACGAATTTTGTGATTGTTGAGACGATTGTCGTTTTGAAGACATTGTATTTTGTGAAAAGTAATTCTTATGCATTTTACCTTTCTTTAAATACCTTTTTTTAACAAGGAAGAAGTTACTATGTACTTTTCATGTAAATCAACAAATGAAGCAAAAGTATGATGTAATATTGTACAACTTGTTTCGTCTTAGCAAGTTTGTGGTGCAATATCGACGTGTACTTCAACTATTCGATGATGAAGAAAAGAAAAAACCAAAATTACACAATCATTGTTGTCAAACGGAATAAGTTGATGTTTGCTTAGGTAGTAGCATTGAATGAGACGATTTTTCGAGTCTTTTTCCGTTCAAGCCTTAAGCATACTTGAATGTAGAATGACTGACTTTCGGTGAGGTTATTTCTGAACTCGAAATCAACTCGATATTTTTCCATATTTTAATTCTTATCATCCATTCTAATTATTTATTTTTTTTTTGAATGAATATTTTACAAAGAAGCACATATTAGAAATTGCTACATCATTAATCATTAGAGATCTTTGCAAGATCTTTTTTTGTTTTATCGGTAAGAACATAAAAATGAAAAACTTTTTTGAAAAACGGCACAACAAATCTTGCCAGTACAGTTCCTCTGAAACTAAAATGTGAAACTCACATGAATTCTTTGGTCTCAATATACTAATATAAAATACATAAAATGAGAAATTTCTATCATACTATAGTTGTTTTGTAAGGATTAATTGATCACCAAAACAAACGATCAGTCTTATTTATTTGTACATTTCGAACAATTATTTTCTTTTTTACGAGTGTTCCAGCTTTTGTTTGCATAGTTGTCATTTACTCGTTGTTTTTCATTTTCATATTCGCTTTTATCTTAATTTGGCATGCTTATTATTATAACCATTAATTTACTTATCAAATAAGCCTGTTATACATATTCATGAAATCCACAGCAAGGCTCAACTCACTATTATATATCTCGATAAACTCCGAAACAAGAATATTGATTATTTCGCGAAGTTATAAGTTGCTCAGTTCATACTTTTTATAGTGATCATAAGATAACTGTTGTGAATTAATACATCACTACCTATCATCCATGGTATTTCCAATATATACATATTTTTAATCTGTGCAAAAATTAAAAAAAACTTGTACTATGTAGAACGTACACAAACGCACTTAGCCATTCAAATTTCGAGGAAAACTTTGAAATGTTCTAGAATAGAACAAGCCTAGTTGTTAATAGCGTTCAACATTTTTTTTCCGTTAGTGAGGAACTCTGAATCAGGAGTCTGACATCTGTTGTCCTCGATTGCTATGTAAACGTACCCAATGACTGTTGACTTGCCTCTTCATTCTCCAGTCATATGATGGGGAATCGTATAATCTCGACTTGAAACTTACATTCACTATATCTTTCTTCAAAAAAACATAATATGAGTTCCACAAAACGCAATAATACAGGTACCGGAAAAAAAAAACAAGCAAATTGCAAAATGGGATCTTTAACGGTAACATTCAGATAGCAAATATGCAGACAATAATTAAAAGCATAGAAGAACTAATATAATCGTTCATTCAGTATATTAGATTGATGCTTGATTATTATTGAACACAAATCTTCAATTTGTACACATTATTTTTTGATACATTACCGATAACTAGAATATTGCCATTAAACTCAAATGAAAACTCAAGTATAAATGGTTTAGGAATAATAAATGGTATTGATGAAGAAGTCAAGAACTACTGATAGCATGTCATTTCATATCATTTATGTTGTTATGATTCTCCCTTGTAGTATCTTCTTTTTTCTTATTGTTATTTTATACGATGTATCAGTTCTTTTATTCGACAATCAGTTTGATAACATACAGTCAACACAGTTCTTTCTTTACATTGATGTTTCTATTCTGAATGGAACCAGCAGTGTTCAGACTTCCAAAAAAGAAAAATTTCAGAAGTTTCGAAGATTTCAAACATTTATGTTCTGAATTTTACGTTACTTCCTAAAATGATATAATTTTCGAAATTTCCAATATATCGAAAAACTTTTGATTTTCACTGCTATATAGTTATCGAGCTAATGGAAATTTCAGAAATTTGGGTAATTTCCTTTTTTAGAAATCCGAACATATCTCAATGGAACAATAAAGAACTACATAATTTAATTAACTAATAGTTTCGATAAATCATGAAAATTGATTTTAAAAATTCAATAAATATTTCAGATTTTTCATTTGATTAAAGGATACAGAACATGTGAATACAATCGAAAAAGTATTTAATTGCTAAATCCTTTAACAATTATTTCATAAAAATTTTTCAATAAACAAAAATCATGCGAAAGAAAAAAATTACTAGTACAAACTAATAATAACCATAGAAAATTGTATCTATGTAGGACTGAGGAAGGTCACGTCAAGACTTTAGGAAGACAAAAATAAATGTCCTAATATTTCTTATATCATTGCATGTTTATTAAATAATGCTAAGATAAGATAAGATAAGATATAGACATCTTCCTAATTAACTATTACAATGTTGTCTACGCTATAGAAAGTTTCTGATAAAAATAGTATATGCTATTGGGTTTTATATTTATATACTCAAACTAAACTGACATACTAATACAAATTATTAGTTAAATAATTTCAAAACAAAAATGTATTCTTAATGATTCTTAAATTAAAACATCTTATAAGATCTTCTATAGCATGTTTTTGCAAAATCAAGTGAAAGAAAGTATTTGATTTTAATTTTTTCACTTTTCTTCATTTCAAAATATTCTTTCATAAATATACTTCATATGGATACACTATAAAATCAATTCTATTTCAATATTCGTTTTTTATGTGTAATAACTATGTTGATTCTTAATCAATTTAGTGTTGTCTATATACATAGAATAATTTATAATATGATTCTTTTCATTATCTTACAAATAATAGATTTCTTTTGATTAAATATTTCTACGTGTGTAATAAATACTTTTTTTTTTAATAAGGAAACTATATTTGATGCTTTAGAAATTTTGTTATATTGTTTTTTATAGTACTTTGGTATTACATTTTAACAGATTTATAATATCAATGTCATCAATGATAGTTTGCAGAAGAGAATCTATATCGCAAGATTTATGATAGGAGTTAATGACTTTTTAGTCTTCGAGTTGTATATCATTGACTGAGTACAGACTAATATCGTTAATTACTTATTCAGAAAATAAATGTGTGACATATCAAGAAATGTGACAATGTAATATGACTTATTGACCTTGATTAAAACTTAGAACAATAGAAGAGTAAATTATTTTTATAATATAAAATAAGTCGTCTTTTTTATGCTTATTAACATTATTATATATTATATACAAATTTTAATAAAATAATATCATAGTTTTATTGTTTATTACTAATGTATATAGTAATAAAAAAATATATTATGAAACAGCAAAGTAGCTACTGGGTAAGAATAGGCATCGAAGACATTAGATGAAATTTTCTTCGTTGCCATCATAAGACACACAATATTCTGAAACAAAAGTCTATGTCTATCATATATAATTAAATTATACAACTGGAACAAATGCATTGAAGGGAAAATAAAATGATTTACTTCTTTTTTTTTTTCATGGTAATATAATTTAATGAATTATTATATGTGTAAAATAATAGAAGATAATTTTTTCTGTTAATCTTTATACAAATATAGCATACTAGTCAAATAAATATATATATATATGTTCATTTTGATAACTAAAAAAATATTTTTAGTCTCATTATTGATCATCAAAACAATATACCGACTTGTTCTCTCTCTCTCTCTCTTTCTTTTTTTCTGTATTGAAGATCTAATCAACCCTTTACAAACATACAATTTGTAATGTTCAATATGATGACCAAAATGAAACTTAACAAAACAATTTACATAATCGAATGTTTTAATTGATAATTTATTTTTATTTCTTCTTTGTTATATTAGTAGCAACAGCTAGGTTTCGATTATTGAACATGACATCATTCTTGTTCTTTATGAAACTAGATAGAGTTGAACATATACACATGGTGCCATTACATCTGTGTCCAACAATATACAAGATTCGGTCGAGGTCACTATAGATGTAATAATTGTTGCTTATTATTTTGTTTCAATTACTCACTATACTTCCGTTTATATCGATATGGCGCACTTTAACAATCTGTATCCTATTGCAGGTTATATATACAATCTACTAAAATGGAATGAATGATGTTTATATAAATATATTCTTTTTATTGTTAGCTTTAACTTCATTATCGGTGATGATTGTTCATGGTTTTTATCTGTAATGGTTATGATACATATATGTATCAACAATTCAACAAAATAATATTTATCTAATTGATATTACGCCAATATACATATAGAATAAAATAGACAGGAAGCATCTTTCGTCACCTTTCGTTGTCAAGTCAAGATTCCTCAGTTGACTGCACGAGATCAGAGAAGTAAAGAACGAAAAGTAAATAATTTAGACATGAGAGCAGTGTTGATTGTCGCCGCGAGCCCACCGACCATATATATATATATACGCATGTGATAATGATGAGAGGAAAAGAGAGCGGACAAACGAGTGGGTGCGATAAGATTGTTTTGAACAAGACATACGTATATACAAATGAAATGGACAGCGGGCATACACGTTCCATTTCCGTTTCTACTAGTTCACAGTATGTTCTTAACCATCACTCAATATATGGATCAAGAAATATACCGCTGCTCTATTCGAAGCCTAAAGGCAACGAACCATACACAGGTTATTGAAAAGAAAAAAATCTAAGAAAGATTATTCATATTCTTCTCTTAATCAGATTGACTACGAAATGACAAACTTATACTAGAATGAAAGCTTTATATCGATATTCTCTATTTAAAATAGTAATAAGTATTTTATTGATCATCGATCATCGACTAATAATATATGTATACGTAGTAATCAAATAATATCTCTTCATCTCTATTTTTCTTTATCAACGATGGCATTCGTTCTTCTTTCT